CTACCCAATATTTACCTGGAGGAGAGTAATCTTATCTGAGAGGTGAAGTTGCTGCTCTTCAAAGTAAATATGCAGCTTGGACTGGTGGTAAATCACCTGATAAAGGAAAATCACTCCCAAGCAGTTCTGGTCTGATCCAGATCTGACCAAGGTAAAGGTAAAGACCTGGGACTCCAGAAAGCAGCCAAGGAATTCGAACATTTGTTCTGCCTAATTGGAATGTATGTCTGAAACAAAGTCACCCAGCGCTTCCCAAATGAAACCCCACTGGGTTTCATAAACATTTGCATGTCTGAAGTTTGACAGTTTTGCCAAATATGTTGGGGAAAAAACACTCTGGGGGGAATTTAGATGCAAACAGGTGAGAATTCAGAGCCCTGTGTCCACCCAGCCAGTCCCTCACCACTCCCTTGTGGGGCTCAGGCACAGGGACTCGCTGAGCTCCAGTGGCTGGGGAAAGCCTGTTGTGGAAGTCTGAGCAGGACTGGAGTTTTCACACACTTTGGTGAATGTTCACAGGGCAAATTCTCCCTGAGGCAGACAATCCAAAGGATGGGAATCTCGGACAGGAATTGCTGACCCTCCATTTCTCCTTTAGCTCCCTCAGGTTTCAAACCTGGAGAAAACAGATCTTCTGGGTCTAAAGCAGCCCCTCCAGTGCTCCCTTTCAGCTCTGCCTCATTTGCTGAACCCTGGAGTTCCAGGAGGTTACAGACACAGATTCCATTACTGATTTCCCATGTTTTCCCTAGAGAGCAGCCTCGTTGACTTCCAAGGTATTGCCCACAAAGCAAACAACTGCTCCCACTCCTCTGGCCCCCACCAGCCCCGTGCCGTGCTTGCTTTGCCCACACTCTGCTCCACAGAGACTATCACAAAACCATGGAAAATTCCAAAATTCGCCTTTGGAATTTTCCTGCGTGTTTTGAGCAGGGGAAGGGGCTGGGTCTGCATCCAGATTAAGTTTAGATTTGGTTTGTGGCTTGAAGCTGACCCGGGACTGGAGTTCACGTTCATAATTGAGGAGTGGAAAACTCCTGGGTTTGTCTGATGAGGATTCTTACCCAGACAGCTGCTGTCATCAGATTTGGGGCTCACATGAAACAGAGCAGGACATGGAGTATCCCCTCAGCATCCATTAATTTCCATGGTATGACCAGAAGACCAGCAGTCAAATCAGGCTATTTGAGCCTTATGATTTTCTAATTCTTGTGCTGAACAGTACCCACTGAAGTGGGTTTGCTTGTGGGGATCAAACCCCTGGATATTCAAAAGTTATTGTGACTTCTGAACTCCTTGTGATGCCCAGGCTATGCCTAGGACTGGGATTTGTCCTGATCTAGCTGGGGGGGAGTGGTCTTCCACTGCTACATCCAACACACACTCACAAAGAAGATGAAGTCCTCAAAACTACTGAGGGTGGCATCTCTCCTAGATTACAGAAGAAACTTTTTGGCAAGAACAGCACAACCTGTCCCCAGGCCAGCAGAGTCAGATGAAATATGAATCAAGTCCTCCTGGCTGATGTGCTCCAGCACTGCTAGAAACAAACTGTTTGCTCTTTTATCAGTGCAGCACACAGCACCAGTTTTCCATTCATGCCACTGTTGATCCAAAAGGGAAAGAAGCCAAACCTTTCACTTTTCCACTGTTGTTAAAGCACAAGCATTTTATTTGGAGACTCTGAGAGCATAATTGTTTAGAGTCTTAAGTAAGATTTCTGTGCTGCCAAAGATATCCATTCAGAAACCACAGATCAGCCCACTAAAGTTCTTAAGACAGGCATAAACATCATGAGACCTTAAACTAAACAAAACAAAAAAAATCCTTCTTCCTTTCTTTCTTTCTTTCTTTTTCTTTCTTTCTTTCTTTTTCTTTCTTTCTTTCTTTCTTTCTT